AGCCGTATAAGGAAATTTAAGTCGACTAAACCAACGTCTCTAAGGACTAAGAAAGCTTCGTTAAGTAATATTTTTTATAAACGCTTTTTTAAGGATAGTTTTCCCTTATTTCTTATAGACCTACCTAAGTAAGTATAATTAGTTTACCCTTTAAGACTTTATTAACTAAATAAAATCCTACTTTAGCTATAAGGTAAAGAAGATATAGTTTAATAGAGAGCTATTTATAAAGGATATCTTAAATTAGCTTTAAAAAAAGGGCATTTTACCCCTCCCGTTAGCACTAAATACCTAGGCCTAGAATAAAGGGGTAAAAAGATTAAAGGGTGCTATAATAGAAAGGGCCTATATAATAAGACTTACTATAAAGCTTCCTTATAACCTTTAAAGAGAAGTCGTTAAGACCGCCTATTACCTTTAAAACTAAACCCCTAGGAACCCTAAGGACCCTAGGGAACTAAACTAAGGAATAAACTAAAAATCCCCCCTTAAGCTTTTTTTAAAGAAGAGGGCCTTACTAGCCTACCTTTATACCTATAGCTATAAGGTATACGCTATAACTACTAATATATAGCTAAAAAGGAAGAAGAAAAGAAAGCTTAATCCTAGAGCCTTTATTAGTTACCTTATCAGCTATAATTCTATAAATATCTTCTAGATCTAAATTCCTCTTCTATAAAAGGTTATTTTAACTATAGATATAAATTTTTACGAATCTAGCTTCTTTAATAGAAAGAGGGATTAATAGTCCCTCTTACTTTTATAATATTAGCTAATTTAAAAGATTTAAATCCCCCCTTTTTAATAGTCTTAAAAAGAGGTCTTAGATAAGGAAATAAAAAAAGAAACTAATATTAAAGTAGTAAAGGATAACGCTAACTTTAAAGAAGAGGAAGCTATTAAATTAAATAATCTAGATAAAGAAAGAGACTATAGGAAAGTAGTAGAGCTAGAATACGCTTACCTCCTTATACTTCCTCCTATATAAAAAGAAAATCTAGAAGTAGCTTTTTTAGTAAGTCTTCTTATCTTAACCTTTAAGGGGGTAAGAAAGGCACCTCTCTTAAAGGATTACTATTATATACTAGTCCCTTAGTATAGGGCCGGTACTTTAACCTTACTATCTACCTAGATCTAATATAGGTCTAATAGGTAACTAAATAAACTAGCTACTATATATAATTAGATATATTATATAGACTAGCTACTATATATTATTACGCGCGTTAAATATAGACTAGCTACTAGTCTTATAAGTTAAAGTAAGAGTAGTAATAACTATCTATATTCTTCTCTACCCGCTTAAGATTTAGCGGGTTCTCTATCTTCTATATATACTATAGTAAGCGTAAGACCTTACTTAGGGCTTTAACTAAGTAATATCTTAACCTTATAATCGTATAATAGTAGTATAGCGTATTAGCGGTATTTCTTAGTATTTTCCTTAGGTAGGCATAGGTATTTCTCTATAATTTCCCGACTATATTTTTATAGTAACTTCTTAGGGAAATATTAGTATAATCCTAAAAGAGCTATTATTACTTAGGAAATCGTAGTATATTCCCTATATAATATATCCTTAGGAGAAATCTCTATAAAATATCTATATAATCTACTTAGTTATTATTTCTAGGATTTCTAAGTAATTTCCTAGAGTTTACTTTATAGCTTCTAGGTTCCTTCTTTTATAGGGAGCCTTAAAGAGTTAGGGGTAACTTCCTTAAGGGAAGTAAATATTGTTATAGGTACCTAGATTATCGACTATAAGGTGTCCTATAATAATTACCTAGCTACCTTTTTATCCTTGCTTTAAGAAGTAAAGGAAGGTATAGGGCCTAATATAAAAGAAGATTAATTTCTCCCTTATTTCGATCCTTTTTCTAACTTCTATCTAACGCCTATAAAAGACGGTTCCTATAGAGTATTTATAGTAAGCCGGCTCTTTAAGCTATAGCTATTAGTAAGGAAGGTATATAAAAGAGACCTCCTAGACCTACTAGTTAACTAAAAGTAACTAGAAAAACACCCCTTTAAAGACTAGTTTTTCTAGGCTTAGAAAGACTACCTAGCCTTATATAAGGAGATAGGGTCTTTTAAAGAGGTCCTTAAGGAAAAGGTAAAAGGAAAATAGGTCCTTAGCTATAAGACTAATAAATATAGCTTCCTTTAAAAGTATAAGGTCTAGCTAGTTATTTATAGGAACTAGTAGGAAAGGGGGGATCTTCCTACTAAGGTAACTACCTTAATAGGGATGTCTTTTTAGACCCTTATAGCTATAGTAGTAGAATTCGACCTTAAACTTAATTAGATAGATATAGTTAACGCCTTCGTTAACTGCCCCCTTAAGGAAGAAGAAGTTATTTATATATAACTTCCTCTTAGTTTTTAATAACTAAGAAAGGTTCTATAGCTTAGGAAAGCTTTATATAAACTATAAAGATTACCCTTTCTTTAGTAATAGTATTTAATAGGTTCCCTTAAAGCCTTAGGCTTTAAGAAAGTCCCTTAAGAATCGTATATAATATAGAAGGGTAAAATTATAGTCTTTTTCTACGTTAACGATATTATTTAAGCCTACCTAAAAGAGGAAGAAGTAACTACTAAGAAGGCTATAAAAGGCCTATAATAAAGGTATAAGATAACTAAGCTAGGGGAGCTAAAGTAGTTCTTAGTAATTTAAATCCTTTAAAATAGGTACTAATAGACTATCTAGCTTACCTAAGACGCTTATATCGATAAGGTCGCTTATAAATTCCTTCTTAATTCCCTCGATAATAAGCTTCCTTCTATACTTATATTAGATAAAGAGCTTTTACCTAATCCGTCCTTTTAAGCTAGGGAGTAAGAGAAATACTAATATTAATAGAAGGTAGGCTCCTTACTTTTTTTTAGCTATTTCTACTAGACCGGATATCTCTTTTATAGTCTTCTAGCTAGCTAAGTATAACTAGAATCCTAGCCCTAGGTACTAAGAAGTAGTAGACCGAGCTATCCTTTATCTCTATTTAACGAGATTATATAGTCTACGCCTAAGAGGGCAAGGAAGGAAACTAGCTACCGAAATCTTCCTCTATTTAAGCGATTCGTCTATTATAGATAATTCCTTAGATAGAAAGAGCTTATAAGGGTATATTATATCCCTTTTTAGAGGAACTATTGCTTAGAGAGCTTTAAAGTAAGCTACTATTACGACTTTAAGTACGGAGGTAAAGCTACTAGCTTTTTTAGAAGCTTTAAAGGAAGCTATTTTCCTTAGCCGGCTATTAATATCTCTATAACTATAAATTCTATCCCTATTAGCTATAGAATATAATAATATATAGACTATATAAATTCTTATAGAGGAAAATAGTAAGCTATTAACCTAGCTATAGTATATTAATATCTATTAATATTAGTTACGCTAAGAGGTCTAAAAGGGACTTATTTCTATCTATTAAGTTCTAATAGTATTAATAAAAGCTAACGGTCTTATAAAGCCCTTACTAAAGTAAAAGCTAGCTATCTTTTTATAGTAAATTAGGCTAGAAGACGTTTAAGAGAAGCTATCCTTAGAAGCCCGCCTTAAGAGTTTATAAGAAGAGCTAATAGTACGTAAGAGGAAGGAGACGTCTATAGCTAAAGAGAGGAACTAGGACTTATCTTAAAGGAGGGCCCCTAGCTTAATTAAGACTTATTCTTCCTAAAGGCCCCCTTTTTAAGGGACTTATCCTTAAAAAAGACCCCCTTTCTTATAGGACTTAATTTCCTTCTTAGGCCCCTTTTCCTAAAGTAGGACTAAAAGAGCCTAGGGCTAAAACCCGGATTTCTCGAGTAAGGGATAAGTATAGACTAAGACCTCCTCTATACGCTTACCGGCCTAATTATTTAGCTTTACCCTTAAGGGGCAGGCTATAGCTAAGGGGGTATATCGCGAAGCGTGGCCTAATTTCGTAGTTCTTAGAGATATCTCTTAGCACGAGGGACCTAAGAAGCTAAAAAACAGGTTTTAAAGAAGGAGCTAAAAGGAGGTATAGAGAGGAGGGTAGGGGTAAGAGGGGAAGCAGAAGTAGCGATAGCTTCCTATAGAGGTAGCGAGAGATAAGACGGATATACCGGCAATAGCTAGAAAGGAGGGGAAAACCTAGTAAAAAGCTCGGTAGTTAAAAGGATATTAGTAGCTTCTTTAAGTAAGATCTTTTTTATTAATTAAAATACTATATAGGTATAAAGAGGGGCGTTAGATAGAGGAAAGAAGGATAATTAAGGTAATATAATAATTACTCCCCTACTATAATTGCTGCCCCCGTAAGATTTAAATATCTCTGCCCTGCCTATCCGACCCCTTACTTTTAATTTTACCTTTATTTATTTTATATGCACTTCTCGTATCTCTCTTCGCGAGAATAATACCTCTTATTAGCTTAGAGGGGGGCGGCGTGCTCTTTTAAAAGAGCGGTACTTTTTTTAGTAAGACGTCTATTAAATTAATTAGTTTAATAGCTTGTATTATTATAAAGTAAGTAAAGGTATATATATATAGCTAATATCTATAAGATAATATTAATAAGCTATATAAAGCTCTTTTATATATAGCTATCCTATATATATATATATATATATATATCCGGCCCTCTATATATAACTATATAGCTTAGGCTATAGCTTAAGCTTATAATCCTTAATTATAAAAGACCTTATTAGCTATAGGCGCTTACTTTTAAAGTCTAGTTATAGCTTAGTTAGCGATATTACTACCTTAAGGTAAATATATAACTATAAGAAGGAAATTCTTTTACTATTATTTTAGATAGAAGATAGTAAATATATTAACTCTTGCCTTTAACTTCGGGCCAGCCTCTCACGTATCTAAGGCTCGTAAAAGCACCACTAGCCGAACACTGCTCGTTAGCATAGACCAGCAGAGTGAGAGTCCAAGGCTCCAGCAGCAGTGGATTAACCAACGGATCCAAGAAGTGGTCAAAGCGACTCTCGGCCCTCTGCAAGACCAACTCACCATAATGATAGAGAAACTTGGCCGGGCTCAGTCGCAGAACGCTGAGGGCTTGCCATCGCCGCCAGTGGCACGAGTCCTGGGTGGGAGCAGGCCCAATTTTGACACCCCGTTCTCCAAGGCCTGCAGTATAGGAACACGGAAACCATTGCCAAATCCTCCAAAGTACGATGGCTCGCGGAAGAGCTATGCTCTTGAACTCGACGTACACTACCACAGCGAGAACTGCGAACTCTGGTACCTCGTCAACTCATGCCTGGATGAACGACCGCAACAGGTGATTGCCACATTCTACGCAGCGGGAGGCCCCGGGAGTACCTGTGACCCGCAGGAGTTCATGCGATATCTCGACCGAACCTCCCAGGATAGCAACATCCAATCTCGCGCTGCTGCTTCACTGAGAACCATGAGCCAGCGCGACGACCAGTCTCTTGCTTCCTTCTTGCGCCGATTCGAGCAAGCCTTAGCCGAAGCCGGGGGAGCAGACTCGTCAGACAACGCGAAGATTGTATTCCTAGAAACCGCGATAAATACGCGGCTTCAACACAGTCTGGTCACATCCATCCTTCTCGAGGACTACCAAGGTTGGCTTGCGAGGGTCCAAGAAATTGCGGGCAGATTGGAGAGACTTAAGTCCGTCAAGCTCCCCGCCCGCCATCCCATCTCTTTGGCAGTGGAGGAGCAGCCCTCAGGTCACGGAGCCCACAGTATGTGGTTACACATTGCTAAGCGGATTAAAGTTGAAAAAGCGGAAACGAAGCAATCTACAGACACCACGCTGCCTCGAGCATCGACGAGGCTGGCGAGACATCTTTGATAGTGAGCTTTACTGGGGAGCTTAAGTACCACCGGGAGGACTGCATTCTGATTGGACAACTTCCTTGTAAACGAAACGACATGGGCGCTGGCTCCTTCGATGCCAAAGGGGTGCTAGGCACCCCGTCCTGGTGCAGTTCTGCCTGCGGCTCATGCTTTCTCTTACGACTTCGTCATTATGCTCCGGTTCCCAGCACCACCTCCACCCCAGACGACATTTTACTCGCTCGAGGCCCGTGTCTTGCGCCGGAGGTACAGAATGGGATAAACAGTGAGAAGCGCGGCGCCCATCATAAAGACGCCAGCAAATACTTGTAGATGCCAGTAATCCGCGCCGGCTGATCTCAAATCGTAAATGGCGCCCCCAATCGGGCTCCCTATCAGCATCCCCAACCCGACCCAGCTCCAGTACATGCCCGAGCGGGTGCCAATGACGGCCATGGATGGGCAGAACAAGGGTAATAAGGCCCCCGGCAGCGTCACGAGAATGCCCGACACCATGCCCCAAAAGACGGCCCAGACTATGGTGCCGGCGACGGTGTCGACGGCCATCCAGCAAAACAGCATGGTCGAGCCCGCCACCAGAGAGACGCCAATTGTCTCGGTGGGTCCAAAGACGGCGGCAGCAAGGCCTGCTAGGAGGCGTCCAACCACAGACGCCCCGTTCAGTATAGCCAGGAGATCTAGAGCTAAACCCGGGCTGATGTTGGCGATGCGGACCTTTGTAAAGAGCGGCAAGTACAGAAGGGGGAGGTAAAACGCCGTAGCGCTGAGCAGCCCTCCGACGGAGAGCATCATAAATGGCAAGTCGGTGAGGGCCGACGTGTCAAAGAAGCGGCGGACCATGCGCGCGGCGGGCTTCTTGTTCCAGCCTTCCAGTAATACCAGATAGGACAGCAGATACAAGGCAAGCACGAGGAACCCGATGCAGCGGATCGTCCAGGGGAAGCCAATCTGCGGCACGAGGGCGCGGAACATGATGGGAAAGACGATGCCTCCTAGCAAAGAGTTAGAGCTGCCGCACAGGCCGGGGAGAAGGCATGTATGTCACTGCGCACCTATGCAGCTGCCACAGGCCATGAGGCCCATGGCTTTGGCACGCGTCGCGGGGTTCGGCAAGCACGCAGCTGCAGCCGACACGCTCGGCGTGAAGACGATGCCGGCGCCAAGGCCTACGCAAATGGCCTGGCAGAGGAACAGCTCGTAGTACTTTGTCGAAATGCTCAGCATCATGAGGCCAAAGACTTGCAGCAGGCTGCCAAACAGCAGCAGCGTCCTGTACCATCCACGGTCATATAGAGGACCAGTCACGAGACCGGCAGACAAGACGAGAAAGGCGCATGTTGTTGAGATCCACGAAATGTTGGAGCTGGACTGGTCGCGAATCAGGGTCAGCTCGTAGTATGCTTGAAAGGCACCGGATGTGAGGAGAAAGCCCCTGAGGCCAACAGTCAGCACGATGGGCCCGCAGGCAGTAAAACACACGGCTAGGCAGAGGCGAACCAGGTGTTCATAAAGACGATGAAGGTGCTTAGAATCTGAAGCCGTTGGGCGCGGCCGGCGTGGCCGGGGTGGGGCCGGGGTGGGGCACCGTCGGCGGCGGCGCGCTCGTCGGCCGTCTCGGGAGACGAAACAGTCTCTTTTAGCTCAGAAGCCGGCGAGCCCATGATATATCTCAGGTCTCGTCTCGCTCAAGGCAAGACGATAGCCGGGTCGGGGAGCAAAATGTCGTCGAAATAGACAACTCGAGTTGGCGGGGGGAGATGCCTTTGTTGGGGCGACACGAGGACAGACGGGCCATGTCGTTACAAATCTACACCGATGGCCATGGACTCGTCAGGTTGATATGCGGTTGCAGTGCAGACAGAATGCGACGACGAGGCCCAATCCAGATGCAGGCTCTCGCGTGGTGCCGACGGCAGGACACCGTGGCACAGCCTGTCAAGGCTCGCTAGTAACCCCCCAGCTGGACGCCTGATGTGAAATTGGAAGACGAAGGAGAATACGGGCTGCGCCGCCATTCAAAGTGGGTCGAGGCATCTTAATTATAGCAATATCAGCAGGCCGGTGCGAGTGCATGCGCTGCAGGCATCCATGATGACGCAGTCAGCAAAGAGTGAGTGCCTTTGCGATGGATACTGGAGGCCGAGGCGGGACCAGTGGTGAGGCTTCTCGGGCCTGTCAGTTTTTATTAGAGTGCAGGGCTGGCGGGCGATCTGCGTTGTCAGACAGTTGCCGAGGAACTTATGCACTGTCATTGGCCAAGTACAGTACTCCGTACGGGTGCAGAGCTGCTTCCAGGCGAGGCTTCGTTATCACCGTAAGCTGTTTACTATGCGGGGGCATCGGCGAACGTGTTTGTCTCGGCAGAGTGGCAGCACCGTGTCTGTTGGCTGGATTCGCACAGTCATCTCCTTCCCCATGCGACCCCCCGTCCGCTACCCCGCCCCCAACATCGTCTCATCCGGACAGATGCTCGCCTGCCCTTGCCGAGAAAAGTCGTGGTTTCATGGCCCGGCAAGGACGAATGGCTGGCCAATGACGGAGTCGATCCGATTGCTCACATGCAGCAGCCAGCCGGGCTCTGCTTCCGACCGCGGCTTCACCTTGCCCTCCCTCGAAGCCACAATACGGTAGTCGCCCGTGCACCTGGACGACTACCTACCACCTACCCGGAGTCCCTCGGTTGATGACGAACAATGGCCGACTCTGCCAACCACCACGCAAGCTCGGCGCGCCTCGCCGACTCGTCGTACCTCTCGCCCTACTCGCGCGCGGGCGCCCCCGGGCCTCACCCCAACGGCGACGCCTACGCCCCTCTGCGCGCCCGGGCCCTGGCCACGCTCGAGGCCATGGGCTTCGACCCCAAGACCATGGTCGAGCACGGCGTGCTCTGGGCCGAGCACCAGGACCCCTACGGCCACGTCATGCACGCCCAGTACATGAGCTACCTGGGCGCCTGCTTCTGGCGCATCATGGAGAGCTACGACGAGTTTTTGACCAAGGCAGAGTGCGATGGCATGATTCACGCAAAGACGGTCATCCCCGCCGTGCGCAAGTACGAGCTCGACATTCGCCGCCAGGTCAAGTACCCCGACGCGGTCCGTCGCCCCCGTCCCCTGGAGTCTTCTTCAGCGCCATGTTGCTCATCGTCGTCTAGGTCATTGCCGCGTACCGCCAGGAAAAGATTGAGCCCACGCGCAACAGCGGCACCACGGTGCTCTTTTCGCTCAAGCAGCAGGCCATTGTCGCCGAGGTCAAGGGCTCGACGACGTACATGGACGTCAAGACGGGTCGTCCGGTCGACATCCGCACGCTGGGCGGCGGATTCCCGGCCTTGTTTGAGGGCTTTACCAAGAAGGCGGAGCGGGCGAGGGCCTTGAAGGAGAAGTGGGACTGCGAGCATCCCAAGCCTCCCAAGCGCGAGGACTCGAAGATTTGAGTCGAGACTTGTTGGGCGACGGCTATAGCATAGCATGCCGAGAGGGAAGGGGTGGCAGATGAGCACCCCTGCCAGGCAGCGCCACAGCTGCAACGAGGACATGGAGAAACGCAACTAGAGCTCAGCTTGTCAACCGGCTTTGTCCTGGTTGGCCATTGACAGCAGCAATGACTTGCGTCGCCTCCTTTGGACTATTCTATTCGTACAACTCACAGGAGCAAGAGCTTGGACTTTTCCTGGCTTGTGACGTCGGCCCAAGCCCATGCATCCACCATGGATTCCCTCAGCCGCAGCAGCCATTGCACCAGACCAACTCCCAGCCGGAGAAGTATCCTCGTGGTCCCCCCTTTGGGCAACAAATTATCCATGCCATCCTGCATCAGGTCCAGCGGCCGCGTCTTGTCCCGGCCGTGTGTAATGAGGCGCGCGGCATGCACGCCCGCCACAAAGCCATCCTCATGGAACCCGTACCCCATCCACGCGCCCGCAAAGGCTAGGCCCGAAACGCCGTTAATCTTGTCCAGATGGCGCGTCATGAGGATGCTCTCGGAGCTGAGCAGCGGGTGGTGATAGATGTGGCTGCTCTGCAGCGCGCGCGGCGTGCGCGTCGGGTTCATGCTGACGAGCACGCGGCCGGGGCTTCCGGCCTGCCCGGGAAACGGGATTGCTTGGAGCTTGTTCATGTCAAACGTGATGCTTATTTTCCTTGAGCGTGGCTTCCCTGCGAGTGCATTTTGGGGAGTCCAGGCTTCGGATTCGACGAAACAGTTCCATGCTGCGCGTGCGGATGGGCGCCGTGGGAGGTGCTGCAACGAGTCAACAAAAAGGACTCTACACTGTCGCGGGGACTCATCACTCGCCGACGTGTCAGAGTGCAGGTGGCACACGTTTTTGCTCGTCTTGAAGCTGCCGAGGATCCTGCGCTCCAGTGCCGTGGCGTCGCCTCCCATCAGAGCCAGGGCTTGGTTCGCGTGGACGGCGAGGACAACATCATCATAGGTCCGGGAGGGTCCGTCGTGGAGGCTGACCACCGTCTCGTCTCCGACTCGAGTTACTCGCTGCACCGGCGTGTTGAGGTGCAACCGGTGCCGAGGCGGAAGACGGCGCTGGAAGGCATCGACATATGTCCTCGAGCCGTGTCGAAAGGTGCGCCACTGCAGCCTTTGTGTGACGGTATCGAGTAGACCGTGCCGAAGCCTTTTCCCCCAGTCAGCACAGGCTCATCCTCGCCCATACGGCCAAGGGACTTGCATGAACTGGATCAGCGGCCTTGCGGGAAAAGTCGCCGCAAACTCGTCGGGATCAATGCACCACGGCGCAGCCACCATGGGAATCAGGAAATAGGCCATGAACTGCTCCGAGTACCCCTGCCTCCGTAGATACTCCCCGATGGACTCGAGGGGCGCTGCGCCCAGGTCGTCTTCCACGGCGTCGGCGTCGGATCCCCGGCGCTGGCTGGGCTCGGCGACACACGGCTCCTCGCGAACCGCGTCCTGCGCAAACAGGCTGAAGCGCACCACGTCAAACATGAGCCGCCAGAACCAAGGACTCAGCAGCCTGGTGAGGGTGCCGACGAAGCTCCAGAGTGAGTAGCTGCTCCATTCGAATGCGCCGTCTGACGTGGACACGCCAAACGACATGTCTGTCGGCATCGTCTCGACGCCCAACTCGCCGAGAAATGCATTAAAGTGCGCTACATCATGGCCCGTCAACGCCCGTCAAAGCAGAGGACACGCTTTACGACTCACGGTATGTCGCCTCGTCTATCGCGATAAAGCCCGTGTCGACACTGACGCTGCCGCGTTTCCCCTTGAACGACACCGAATTGGCATGGCCGCCGAGCTTGTCGTCGGCCTCGAAAATGTCGACGCTGCAGTCGTGCTTGCGCAGCTCCCATGAACACGCGATGCCGGCAATGCCTCCGCCGACAATGGCGACACGCCGCGATGGAGGCGGCGGCGGTGGCATCATGACGAGCGGCGGGATATCGGTGGACCTTTCGGCAAGGGCGGCATGGTGAGAAGGCACAGCTAATCGGCGGCCTTTAAACTACTGGTATCGGATAAGATGGATCGTCGACGAGCAGGCAGCAATCATGGAGACCTAAGCCGAGGGCTTCACAGGCCATGGCCTCGCGCAGACAAGGGGGGTCATTGGCCAGCCTGACGCTGTCAAGCCCTACGGCACACCAGACGGCAAATGTAGGTTATCCCAACGCCTCCCGGAGCCGTCTTTATTCGTCGAGCAAGGCAGGCGAGTCGACGTGTAAGTATTGGCCCCTGGCCGTCCGCGCGTACCGACGACTTGCTTGCACCTATACGAGGCGAGACTTCGGGGCCTAGACCTCGGCGCGGCACGGCAGCCCTGCCGTCTGACCGATACCGGGCTCCAGCTTACAGGCGTCGGGACAGTGCCTCGGACAGTGTTTCTTTGCAGGACGACAGGGGGGAGTAAGACTGGTAATCCTACCCAGCCAACCAGCTGTCTTGCCGTCGAGCCCGTTTAAAAAAAGAGTTGAACGGGAGTCTTGGAACGGGAAGGTGGTGGTGGCGAGAAATTGGCACCGGCGTACAAGTGGCCAGCCAAGAATGATGTGCACAGGCGCTATTATATGCGGGTATATTTTCGTCTCGACCCTCGACAAGGTCTGTGCCGAGAAAGCCTCGCCGTGGTCGACGGCCCTGCCATGACAGCCGTCTGATGTGGTTACAGTGCCAGTTGAGATATCTCCTGACTTGCCGAAGGGCCGTAAGAACTTAAAATAGCGCGGCAAGGCAGCCGTTTCGGAGAAAAAGCCATAAGCGTCTGACGGAGGGCAATATGCAAACATGAGCAGCTACGATGCCCGTCTTGTAGGCAGCTGGAACAGAAAAAGCGTGGTACGGAGTACTTGGACCAGCGGTATAGACATCAAATAGAAGATACGGGGCGTGCTGGGTACGACCCTCTTCTCTCATCCCCCTTTTTGCGGCCACAGCAGATTGCCCGTCATGGCAAGTGTATTTGCATCCCTTGGCGCTCGCTATGCTGCCTTTGCAGCTGCAGCCCTCGTCGCTTTTGTACGTCTCAGTTCTACACGTCACGTTCCCCTGTCGATGTCGTCGCTCATGGGATTAGATTGTCGCCGTTATAGTCAAGAGGCGCCATTTCCACCCATATAGCAAAGTCCCCGGTCCGTTTCTAGCAAAAGTAACGAGCCTGTACTCGGCCTATCACTCATGGCGAGGGACGATGCACCTCGATGTGCAGCGATGCCATCAACGTTACGGTTCGTGCCCTTTCTTCAGAGTGGCTAGCTTAGACATGCTCATCCATCGAAGGAGACTTGATCCGATATGCGCCAAACCAGGTCCTCTCCTTGCATCCGCCAGACATGGCTGGTCAGTATTACCCCGGTGTCTTCATCATCATACCTCGTCAAAGAGTCAAGGTTGACAAAAACAGCCATCTATGGCCATGGCGCCCCCTTTCGAAAGGCCAAGGGCTACAAGACCATGATCCCCATCCCCGACGGCTGGAGCACCATGACGTCGATTGACAAGACTCTGCACCACAACCTGCGCAGGGTCTTTCGATCCGGCGTCGGCGCAGACTACCTCGCGCGCTTTGAGCCAGCCATCCTGCGCAACCTCAAGGTCTACTTTGGCCAGCTGCAAAGGGAAATGGACGCAGATGGCTGGAGCGCTGCAGCCGACATGAGGAAATGGAGTATGTCTGGCCATGACACACTCGCGTAAGTGGGGAGATGGCTAACTGTCAATGCCAGATCTCTGCTTGGGTTTCGACACCATGGCTGATTTCGGACTCGGCATCAAGACGGACCTCTTGCGCAGCCCGGCCCGGGAATTCGTCTTTCCCGCGCTGTACGTGCACGAGAAGAAGATGGGCCTGTGGGAACAGCTGCCCATCTTTAGCACCCTGGGCATTGGACACATCGTCGCCGTTGCCTTTCTCCTCGTCTCGTCCGAAGCACGCAAGTTTGCCCAGTGGTACAAGACGCTGCTGGACCAGGCCATTGCCGACAACGCGTCCACAAGCCGGGGCATCTTTGGCCCCGTCATCCAGAGCGGCCTGGGCATCCTCAAGAACCCGGGCCACAACTATGCGCAGATGATTGGCGAGGGCGCGTTCAGCACCTTTTCGTCTGCCGATGCGTACGGCATCATGGTCTCCGGGTTCGTCCATTACCTGACTCAGTATCCGTACGTGTACGAGAAACTGGCGGCCGAGATGCGGAGCATGTATACGCCCGGCGAGGATATTCCTTGGGACGCCAGGCTCGAGTCCAACGTCTACCTGCGCGCCGTCATCAACGAAGTCATGCGCCTGCTGCCTCCAGCCTGCGGCGTCCACTGGCGCGAGTGCGAGCGGCCCGGCGTCACAGTCGGGCCAGACGGGGTGCCCCTGACGGTTGGCAGCGACGTGGGGATGAGCATCTTTTCGCTCTTCAGGGACGGCCGCATCTTCCGTGACCCGGTGCGCTTCTGGCCGGAGCGCTGGATCCCAGGCACGATACCCGAGACGGAGTACTCGCTTGCAAAAACCATGTTTAGACCGTTTCTGATCGGGCCGCGCAACTGTGCGGGCAGCCACGTCGCCATCATGATTGGCAGCATTGCGTACGCATACATCTTGGTCAACTACGACTTTCGGCGGGGGCAGATGCAGCGCTCGACGAGGTCTCATATCCGGTCGAATGCCCGAGGGGAAAGGGGCGCGGACAAGGAGCTTGTGTTTGAGAGTCATTATTCGATTGCGGGTTGGGAGAGTGGTCCGTTTATCCAGTTTAAAGCCCGGTGAGGTTTATAAAGGCACACTTGTCTACCGAGTAGCCCTCGGAGATGAATACCGCATGATATTTCGAGATAACCGAGACGACAGTGAAACAGGCAAGCCCATTGTCGACACGATGCAGCTCGACAAGCATCACGGCATCTGTAGAACCCCAACACAGCACAACCGAGCCCAGGAGCCGACGATGCCGTACAAAGTCAAAATCCTTCGCTGCAGGTCCCAGGCCTCAGCTGAGGTGCCGACCAACAAGTGCTCACCCGCGATGCTGCTGGTCCTGCCATGCAGATGCGCCGTTGTGGTGACGGCGTTCTACGACCTGGACAAAGCCCCGCCGTTAACATGGGGGCCAAAAGAGTCTCGGCAGAGCATCCTGTCGTGGCGTTTGTGTCTCGCTCCCGTCGGATAAGCGGGCGATTATGCCTCGAACCGGGACGGCATACAAAAGTTCCCTTGTCTTCGCTCTAGAAGGGGCGGGCTCAGCTTTCAAGGGTCGGATGCATCGGGTTGCAGCAGTCTCACGCACCATGTGCATATGCCAACATCATTGGTCTAGATCCTGACGCTTCAATAGCGTCAGTATGTACTGCTGCAGCAGGAGGGAGGCCTTTGTTCCTTGGTTTACCTATCGGCTATGGTCGCTTACTATGTGACTGCATGGGAGGTGGCTGGATTCCATGGACGAACGGAGCAGTGATTTTGGATAGAGCAGAGTCTGTACACTGTACAGACCGCACCAGTCCTATCAGAGCACCCTCTGCAACCGTGACATCGTGGAAGCCGGAGGTGACCGGTCAAGAGACATGCGGAACATCGGGGGGGGGTCTGGTTAACACGGGGTCGCAGGTGCAGACAGGCAACAGAGTCATTCCCTCTACAGTACATGCAGTGAAGCGAGTCGGCTTGGGAATGGTTCATTCGCGGCCTTGCTAATTATATCGGCGGGCAGACCTCGACTGGATGTTGCGCCGGCTCTTATACCATTCGCCCGACTCCTCGATTGCCCGCCTGTCTCATGTCCCGTCATCGGAGAGTTAACACGCCCGTCAGCACAGCCCATCCATAAAGCTGCCCAGTTCCATCCTTGCACGTCATCGCGAGGCGCGAGGCAGTGCGCCCGGAACACACTCTTTTCTCTCTACATCAGCATCTGCCGAAAATGTCCAATGGCTTCATCAAGTTCGACCCGACGTTGGTCGACGAGGACAGGGGCCAGGATCTCTTGATCCTGTGCACCGTCTTCTCCATCCTCATTGTCCTGTCGACCGGGTCGCGAGTCGTCATGAAGCTCGTCACAAAAGTCGGGCTCGGGACTGCAGACTACTTTATCATCATCGCGTTGGTAAGCTCTTGCGCTTCTCAGAGGGGATGCGACGACAACTCACACGCCATAGGCATTCAACTTGACGGCCAATATCCTCGAGATCCAGGCCGTGCAGCACGGTTTCGGACGCCATTTGCAATTCATCGACCGGCCGCACGTGCTGACGCTCAAGAGACTCAGCCAGTACAACATCCTCTTTGCCAACATCTCGCTGTGGGCCGTCAAGATTTCCATTTGCTTCTTTATTCTGGCCATTGTGCAAAACGTCCACCGGCGCACCAAATGGGTCATCTACGGCCTCATTGCCATTACCACGACGGCGAGCACCTGCCAGGGCATCCTCTGGGGTCTGCAGGCCAAGCCGCTGCGCAAGCTCTGGGAGCCCGACATTCCCGGCGAGGTGGCGAGCATCAGCACGCTGGTGCACTCCATCATTGCCTTTACCGGTAGGCCTACCTCTTCCATGTTCTTTTCCGGAGCCTTGAGTGTTAACTTGACTGTCATGACAGCCATCAACAGCCTCACGGACCTGTTCTACGCCGTCGCGCCCGTCTACTTCTTCGGCCGGCTGCAGATGAGTCTAGCCAGAAGACTGGTCGTCATCGGCCTGACAGGATCAGGACTGTTTGTCTTTGCCTCGTCCATTATCCGCGTCGCCTTCGATGGCGACTTTTACAACCCCGACTTTACATGGGCCCTCTACCGCGTGTACCTATGCACCGTCATTGAGCGCAACATGGCCGAGGTCATTGCCGACCTGCCTGCCTCCTTTACCCTGCTGCGCGGCGTGCAAAAGAAGACGCAGACGCTCCTGTCGCGCGGCACCCGTAACTCGACCAAGGTGTCCAACATGAGCGGCCACTCGGCCGGCGACAAGAGCTTTCATGCCCGGGCGTCGTCCAAGCGCGGTGCCCAGTATAGCAACTTGTAGGAGTCGGTCTACCATGAGGATGAGATTCCCCTCAAGGACGGGCCACTTGGGGCCAAGGAGAATGGCATCATTACCATGCAGACGCGTATCGATGTCGAGGCGCACACGGCGGATGCGCATGAGCAGGAGCAGCGGACGCGGGCGCTGGTGCGGCCGTGGGACAAGACGTCGACCAATGTATAAATGAATAGTGAAAGAGTGATGCCAGGGCTAGCTTGCATGAGTTCATGTTGTTAATGAGCAGCAGATGCGGTTATATCTACCGGTCATCTAGGGCAAGTCTCGTGTGCTCACACACGTTGTAGCTTCATGCTAGACGACAACTGGCTTCCCGCCTGTGCTTTTCATGACGGCCTCGCCTCTCGACAAAGACATGGCCTTTTTCACCTCCCACTCCCACGCCGTCAAGTTGGCATCCTCTGCGTCGTCCGCCTCGGCGCCGACCTTGCTCCTCATGCTCGCATCGCGCTCCGGCCGCACGAGAAGCGCCAGGCTGTACCGGTCGACGAAGCGCTGCTCGCCCGGCGGGTACCGGATGCGATGGACGTTGCTGCGCAAGAGCCCGCCCGTCCACTGCACCATGGCGTCGCCGAGGTTGACAATCAGACACCCCGGCTGCGGCCGCACCCAGCGCCATGCATCCTCGTCGGCCGCACACCCGCCGGGAGTGAGAATCTGCAGGCCGCCGAGCACGTTTGCGAGGAGCGTGACGGTGCCAAAGTCGGTGTGGTGGATCATGCTCGTCCGCAGGTCCTGGGCCGCGGGACTGGCAAAGGCCTTGATGAGCCGGACGACGGTCCCGGACGGCTTGGTCGGTGTTTGCAGCGAGGAGAATGTGTCTTCTGGCAGGGACAGCTGCCTTGCGAGCGTGGCGCTGACTGTTGCGACGATGCGCTGGGCGTGCTTGAGGAACGAGGTGAACAGGGCGAGGTGAGTGTGCACGAGCGCGGGCAGTGGTTGAAGCGGCGTGGTGCCCATGAGGCCGTCTTGCCCGATATTGAACCACTCAAAGCGGTCCGGCTCCTCCGTCTCGGTTTTGGCATGGCCACGCGGCTTGAACCTGCGAGAGGTTGAGCAAAAGGACAGACAATTCTCTGAATGACGCATACCCTAGAAAGCTCCTTGGGATATCGTGTAAAAACGCTCGCTTGACGTCCTGCGGGAGGTCCATGATGTCCTTGCCAACCGCAAATAAGTGGTCAATCTCCTCCATGACGGCCTCGCCCAATTCATCGCCGCGCAGGTCGACGAGGAAGAAGCCAAGCTCCTGGCACGCATCCAGTGCCTGCTGCGCCGTCTTTTCATCTCTCGAGTTCAAGCCGGCCAGCGAAACGGTGTGCATTGGCATCGTGGGTACATTTTCGGGAAAGGGGGGAATATCGCGGAACAGCTTCTCGGAAGCCATGGCCGAGTTCTCAAGTGCTCAATGACGAGACAGGCGCTGATTGATTTGTCCAGCTTCGCCATGAGGCTTTTGATCGCATGGTAGTCCTTCCACCGGCCGGCAGGGGCATCCGGCTCGCTGCTCGCGACCAACATCCATCTGTTGTACGACCCAGTCACATGGCAAAGTAACCGTACGCAATACGCTGGTTACCAGGAGATCCCAGCCCCAGCCCAGCCCCTCTTTGACCCCGTGGAACCCCTAAGGAACACGCCTGCACGCCTGGCCTGTCCGGTGCGGAGTATTCTGTGCGTGGGTGAGACTCACGTCACATGCCTCGATGCCACCCCTGCATCGCTTCATGGACACTGTGCCGGGCCGAATAATGGGCCAACGCCCCCCCGTGTTGAACAGAGGAAGCTGGGTGGGCCTGTCAGCTCAAGCAGTTGAGCTTAACCGTGTGCTGGGAAGCCATGAGGCGCACTCGCCATGACTCCATCCTACCTTCTCGATTCCTTGGCTTCGTCCCTTTCTGAGATGATACTGGCCATCTATCTCTTGCTCCTGGCTGCAGTGGGCATATACATGTACTCTGCTCAGTATAGGATCCTACCAAGGTCTGTACCAGAGAAACAGCCAAGCGCACGCCGGCACGGTATTTCCATTCACAAGACGCAAATAATCAAGTGCAACATCTCACACCGTCGCCTGTTTCCAAAGAAACATGGGTTCGTCTATCCATACTTATCCGTCGGCATTCCCGTGCGGTCTCCAGCTTCAAACTGGCTACTCTCCGTGAGCTCAGCTCCATGGTGGAAACGAGGCTGGCTTCATGTTGCGCCCGAGGACCACTTGAACCGGGGTCGCGACGGGGACACTCTGTCTGACAATATTGATGCCTACCTGAAACGTCAGGTGTGTATACCAACAGTCGAATCCTGGTCCGGCAGCTGACCGGCTCTTGCAACTAGGAGCTAAACCCAGCTGACTTTCCTCACGTCTATCTGCTCACTTCACCGCGCTTCGTCAACTACGTATTCAAGCCGGCGTCGTTTTGGTACCTCTACACGGCAGACGGGAAGCTCAAGTATGTCGTCGCAGAGGTCAATAATACGTTTGACGAGCGGCGCATGTACTTGTTCCCGGCTGCTGAAGATGTCGGCATGTTTAGGCAGACGCTGGACAAGGACTTTCACGTGTCTCCGTTTAGTTCGAGGAAGGGCTCGTATGTGCTTTCTACCACAAGCCCGGCCGAGCAGGACGACGTTTCAGTCACCATCACCCTGCGCTCGTCAAAGGGCCATCCTAAACTTATCGCCCGTTGGTGGTCTGACGCGCCTGCGATGGATCCGTCGGACCTGTCGACACTCGCGTCTCTGTGGCTCCTTATCTCCTGGGGGTCGACTGTCCTGACTACATGTAAGTGCTCCAATGCCTATGAAACTACGAATCGTGAACTGGAGCTAAGTCGGCTGTAAAGTCATGAAAATTGTATTCCAGGCAATCGTGCTGGCTCAAGTTCATAAACTACAGATTTGGTATCGCCCAGAACCAAGAGAGTCGACTCTGCCACGCCGTTCATCATCGACAGAGACGTTCCTAGCATCCATCTTTCTCCAATATCTCCAGCACCTGCTTGACGTGGCGTCAAACAAGTACAGGCTCACAACACGATCCATTGGGGGCAACGGGGAACAGTGTTTGCAAAACTACATTTTCCTGAATTTGAAGATTGTGCAAGAGGATGACCCTGAGGCGTTCGACTTGAGGATTCACACGCCTCAATTCTTTCGTCACTTGATCACCCATAAGAAGCTGTCCGACCTTTTGTCGTACACTTTGCTGGATCCGTACGAGGAGAATCGCACCGCCTGGTCTGATGATGCACAGAGCCTCATCAGTATCATACAGGACCTCGAAAAAGCCCTGCAGAAGCAAAGACCTGGAAAGAGATGGAGTCTCAAGGAGGCCCTTTACAACGTGCCTTGGGCAGCATACATGCACCTCCGCTGCACTCAGCCGTTGACAGGTTCCTACCCTGATCCCGGCTTGCCACACACACGAACCAACGCGGAATCGCGACACGATCCAAAAACGCAGCTGAAAAGAGATGGATTCTGCTTCTTAGATGACTTTGTACATGATCACTGTAATCCGCTGTTACAGGTTGGATATATGGTGGCAACCCTGGGTCTGCAATGGAGGACACGAGTAATGAAGGTCATTGGGGGGGAGTAAGCGGACAAAAGACGATCCGCCGAAGGGGAAGGGTGGTGTGGCTTTGGCCCAGTGTGATTGGCATATCGGCCCAAGCCCTCCGCATGGGCTCGGAGGTGACTCCGTTCTCGAGTTTCTATTATATGGGATGGCCACGCATCCGAATGGCTAGGCAGGGGTCGCATCATGCCGTGCAACGCTAAAATCGAGCCGCTCCCGCGTGCCGCTCCATGTCTTGGCACCAACATGGCTCGGCCACTTTCCTTCAGGGGAGGGGAGCAACGGGCCTGCCTGTCGTATGGCCTCCCCTGCAATGGTGTTTTACAGGACAGCATCTCACCAATGGCAGCCGTCTTCTGTAGTCTCCCAATACCGCTCAACCACAGGATCTGGTATCAGCCCTTGAGCGGGTTAGGGTCCCGTACGGATGGGCTTTTCTGGAAGTCGGGAGTTTGTGGGGCTGAGGGCTGAGCTTGGGGTGCGTCGAAGCACCTTTGCCCTGATCCCTCGACTGCATGTCTTTGTACGGTGCCGTATACTTAGTAACGTGCTCGTCAGCCACCTGTCGACTGTTCGACTACCATACGTGCCATCGCCATACATACATGGCCATGTCTACTCTTGAGCTTCGATTCTTGTCGAGTCTTGTGTCAATTGCCTCTTCCTGATTCTCGAGGAAACGAATCAACATGGCTCTGCCGGATAACTACAACAACTCAAAGGAAATGTTTGAGAAATCTTCTCTGCGTCATGATCCGGACGACGAAACCGGCACGGCAACCCCGCCTGTCCAGCACGACGTCGACCGGGACGAGGTTTACTCCCACGAGGAGCAGAAGAGAATCATTCGTCGCGTGTAAGCAAATGTCTGCTCAACGAAGAGCCTTTTGCCTTGAGCTCTCGACGCCGGCTACCATTGCGATTGCTAATCGTCCTGCAGTGACTTTCGGCTAGTTCTCATACTTGCCTGTCTCTACGTCATATCCCTCGTCGACCGTGTCAACGTGTCGACCGCGGCCATTGCCGGACTCAACAAAGACCTCCAGCTCCAAGTCGGCACTCGCTACTCGACCATCATTGTAACATTTTTCGTGGCCTATACCGTCTTCCAGCCGCTCGGCACAGTGCTCACCAGAAAGATTGGCCCGAGATGGTTCCTCAGCTCCATCACGCTGGCCTGGGGCGCGGTCATGATTGGCAACGGCTTTGTTAACTCGTGGCAGAGCCTGGCAGGATTGCGAGTCCTGGTCGGGTGAGTCTGAACACACAGCAAGTACTTCTACAAGATATGTTAACATGGCGCAGTGTCTTTGAAGCCGGCTACTTTCCGGGGGCCGTCTATCTCCTGAGCACATGGTACACCCGCTTCGACATGCAAAAGCGCTACACCGTATTTTACGGCGTCGGCTGCGTGGCCGGTGCTCTCGGCGGCATCCTGGCTTTTGGCCTCTCGCAGATGAACGGCCTGGCCGGCCTGCGAGGCTGGCGATGGATCTTCATCATTGAAGGCGTCATATCTTGCCTTGGTGCCATCGCCTCCTGCTTCTTCCTCGTCGAGTTCCCCGAAGAAGCCCATCGATCGTGGAACTTTCTCAGCAAGCAAGAGTGCGACTTCATCATACGCCGTGTCAACCGCGATCGGGGAGACGCCATCACTGAGCCTTTTTCCCTGGTCGAGTTTCTCAAGCCCGCCGCCGACTTCAAAATCTGGGTCTATGCGTTCATCTTCTTTTGCGTCACGACAGTGGGCTACTCGATCAACTATTTCCTCCCTATGATTCTGCTCGGCATGGGTAAGTTCTATCCTCCCCAATATCTGTACCGCTCTTCTCGTCTAATTCCTCCCTTAGGCTTTAGCGTCGCCGCATCGCAATGCCTCATTGTCCCCCCGTGGATCTTTACAGGCCTTCTCATGTACGGGCAAGCCTGGCTTGGCGACAAGTACCGTCTCCGCGGTCCCATAATCGCCTTCAACGCCGTTCTGGCCCTCATTGGCCTTGCCCTCATGGGCTTCCACCCGGCGTATCCGGTCCGCTACTTTGGCGTCTTCCTCATCGTCGGGGGCGCCAGCGGCAACACGCCGCCCGTCTTGACCTACCAAGCCAACAACATCCGCGGACACTGGAAGCGCGCGTTTTGCAGCGCCTCGCTCATTGGCATGGGCGGCATCGGAGGCATCGCGGGGGCCCTCGTCTTTCGCAGCCAGGATGCGCCCAAGTATCTCCCCGGCATCTACGCGTCCATCGCCTGCAACATTTGCATCCTGGTCTGTGTGGCTGGCATGTCGGTGTGGTTCTGGTACCAGAACAAGAGGGCGAAACAGGGGCTGGTGATTCTAGAAGGTCTCAAGGACTTTACGTATACGTTTTAATGGAACGTGAATGCCAACATGCCTGCGTGCATACGGCGGATGCAACACTATTTTAAGAGCCTCTCGTTTATTCAAAATCCACCGTCGTCACAACTCCGTAGACTGTAGGCTCCCATTTTGCAGCACTGAAATGGCTTTTCGTACAGGGACACAGGGCTCTAGCCTCAGCTATAAGCTCGCCAGCAGATTCGTGTATCGATTTGTTTGACCCCTATTATAATTAGACAAGGCCAATGTTATGTACACCGACACCATCATGCTTATATACGGGTATATGGTGTATGCCTTGAAAAGTCATCGCGTCCATGGCGTGCATCAGTGCAAATTGCGCGTCACGTACTTGTCATACTTTGCGCAGCCAATCTTGGTATACTTATGTGACGCAATCGCCTCGGCATGGCCCGTAATGCTTCCGCCTCCCATACGAGACACGTTGGCCGTTTTCTGGCACGTCACCTCGCCCAGGCCCTGCAGCCACGAGAGCAGGATGCGCTCGTACGTGTCCCACCACTCGCCCATTACCTGCCTTGTGTCAGGTTCCTCTTCTCGACGCTCTTGTTGCAGGCTCCGAAGGCAGCGGCTTCTAGAGAGCTGTCACGGCGTAGTCGGCTGGCTCCAGCTGCTTGTGCCACTCGTTGGTCACTTTGATGCAGTCGCGTAGGCTTTTGTCGCTTCCGCCAATGAGGCCGCTTGGCGGAGGCGTATCCGCGTCGTCTTTGTCGGAGTCGCGCTGACTGGGGGGCAGGTCTTTCACAGGGGAAGCAGGCTGATCGGGACTGGGTCGAAGCCACCAAGGGGAGAACCTGAAGAGCCGATCAGTACATATCCGGGAAATGGTGGCAGACGTATGACCCCGGATGTAATATAGTTAAAGTCGTGACCTGGAACTTCCTGCGTCTCTTGCGAGTCCAAGGGCTGATGACTGTTGCGCACATAACCAAGTTCACCGTTGTTGGAATCATGCAGCATGGGAGCTTTGACTGACCTTGCGCTGCGCTCCGTACGTTTTTAGCTCCATGGCCATACAGGCCAGGTAGTTATTTGCAACTAACCTCGTTCCTGGAGATTTTGGGATATGGAACTGCGCTATGTGAAGATGTGATTGCTTCCGTCGTTCGATTTGACTCTGCCCTTTCTCAATGATGGCCAACCTGTATATCATCAGATCCTCGTGAAGTTACCATGCACTAGTAATTCATTGCAGCTACTTCACGGCCAGTTCTGGCTCGTTGAGGGTACTGCCCATTCGCGGTAGTCCCAGTTTACAAGCACGGCGGTGTCACTATCCATGCCTATTTAACTACAGCTTGAGAGAGATGTTCATCAGGCATATATATATCTTGTAGTCTAGAACACGTTGTTGTCCCCTTCCGGTAGGGCACGACTTTGCGCCACAGCGACTTCCGGCCGGGCTGAGTAGGGCTTTCTGACAATCCGGGGAAGCGATACGTTACATGGTTAATTACTTGTCTCCCTTCGCTCTTCTAGAGGACCGATCCTCTGGAGGATTGTAAGCGCCGTACAACCCCCCCCCTTTCTCAAACACAATCAGAGAAACGCAATACAAGTCCCTCTCGAGTCCTCTAGAGGACCGAGCTTCTGGAGGACGTAAGCGCCGCACGCCCCCCCCTCCTGTTTGTTCAGTCTGATAATATATCGCCTTGCTAATTTCATCAATTTTTAAAAGCCGTACCTAACTTACACCATATTGACTGAAAGCGCTCGTAAGCTTTTCAAGCTTAAACTACATACACCCTCGTGATGCTTCGCACACCACGGCTACGGATCCCTCTCGGTCGCGCTTTCCAAGCGCAAGCGCCGCACCGCCGCTTTACGAAGGGAGCTCAGTCCATTCCAGCTAGCATTGGTGCTGCGGGATACGCTGCGACTGCTAGTGCGATTGCTGTGATTGCCGCTTGGTGGTCGATAGGTACACCCGATCTTCCGCCACTGCTGGAGAGCCGACCAGGCCAACACCTCGTCGTCGAGTCCGATCCCTCGAAAGCCGAAGTGACCCGGATACTTTCGCAAGAGGCGTATTCTTTTAATGTCAGACACACCGCCGGTATCGAGAGATATGACGGTGCTCGGCTAGCTTCTAACAGCCCGTGTGAAGACCGCTTCACCCACGGCCTTGTCTCACCCTGGCACAACGGCAGTCCATGGGTTGCACTGGCTCTTTTCGACGGGCATGCAGGCTGGCAGACAGCCGACTTTCTGGAGAAGAAACTGATACCCTCGGTGCGACACGGCCTAAGTCAGATCAAGCCACCTTCAGGCGGAGAAATTACGCCCGAACGAACACTCCATGGTGCCATCATGAAAGCGTTTGTTGATCTTGACAATTCGATCATCAAGACAGCTGAAGATGCCGCTGAGAGCGATCAGCCTCTGCAAGAAAAGGTGCGGAGATTTGCCCCTGCCTTTGCTGGCTCATGTGCGCTGTTGTCACTGTACGACCCCATGACCAGCAGACTGCATGTGGCTTGTACCGGCGACTCACGAGCGGTTCTTGGACGACAGAGCCCAGACGGCAAGTGGGAAGCGATTCCGCTATCTACCGATCAGACTGGCAGCAATGTGGCGGAAGTTGCAAGGTTGAACACGGAGCACCCGAGCGAAGAAGGCCTAGCTCAAGACGGCCGGGTTCTAGGGCTTGCAGTTTCACGGGCCTTCGGTGACGGGAGATGGAAGTGGCCATCGGAAGCAACAAAGGGCTTTAGCAGGAGATTCTGCGGCCCCGGCGCCCTACCACCAAAATATAACATCCAGACACCACCGTATATAACTGCCGAGCCGGTTGTGACGACAACCACGATTAAGTCGGGCGGGCCTTCCTTTCTGATCCTGGCGACGGATGGTTTGTGGAATCGCTTGTCGAACCAGCAAGCTGTTGACCTCGTGGCAGCATGGCTGGATTCCGGATCCCCAAGGGAGGACATGGAATCCAGCAAATCGGAGCCAACATCATACGCACCGTTCGACTTTGGTGATTTCCGGAAAGGAGTGAGCCCGGACTTCGTCGATGAAAGGACAACTATCCAAGACGATAATGCTGCCGTCCATTTGATGCGGAACTCCCTTGGGGGGAACCATTCCGAGTTGATAGCTGGAAGGCTTGCTCTCACCCCTCCCTACTCCCGGAACCGGAGAGATGATATAACGATCCAGGTGGTCTTCTTCAATAATACCATAGCTCAGGCAAATAAATAGGGGAAGTCGAGTTTGCCCATAACGTATCACACACAGACTAAGTGCCACAACTATCAATTACGCACCACTTGTTGGAGCGCGCGTTCTACTTTTGGTGCCTCTCAAGCAAGGGCTTAAGAGCATAGTGGAAGAAACAGGGGCATAGAAAGGTGAATTTAGTAATATATATCTTGGTCTATCTATTAGGATAAGAGAGGGGCTTATATAGGTATAGTGACTATATATAGCTAGCTAAAAGGGGGCATTAAGATATTCCTATACCTAAGTTAGGCCTATATTATATCCTTACGCTAGGGGAGTTATATTAGTTAGGCAGGCTCTCTTATATATAACTATTAGGTCTACTGGGCATAACCATAGCCTCTTATGCCCACTCTCCTTAATAGTGTTATATTATGTAGCGTTAAGGAGAGCTAGCTTTATAATCGTCTGCTTGTCTTTCTCGCGTTGAGCGATTTTCCGGAGGAAGTTAGCATAATATAGAGTATACCTGCTGTTTCGTTGCTTAGCACCGACGAAGGTACGGGCTGTAGTCGGCTCGGATAAGGCCTCGGCAAAGCGTGGGACGTAGCGGTAACTGGTGGTGGCAGTGATGTGAGAATAGGGGTTGGTTGGAGGCTGGGAGGGGGCGAGCGGAGCGGCTGGCTTTTAACACTAGCCTGTTGCGCTCATCGGCCCCGTTGACGTCCATTTTGGTGGTGTCAAGAAACGGCCTCCTGTCATCTGCTTCCAAGATGGAAGTTGAAGGAAGGGGGCGAGCGTCCAGAGGGTGAGCAAGGCACCGGGCTGGTTTGTCATGCGGATTGCCCCTGGCCAGTTGCGTCTCAGCTGAATTGGCATGTTGGCGCACCCAACGCAGATACACTGTGCTTTGCGGGCAGTGCCGGCCCCTCATTGTCGAGGCCACCAAAAGCGGCGGCACCTCCCACCCGATTCGGTGGCCTCAACAGCGCTTTCTATCATTAATATGTATTTCCCCGAAATTCTGCTTGCTGTACGGACATGTCATACTGTTTTCTCGAAGGACTCATATTTCTACAAAGTAGTTTGCAATGATGTTGAAACTGCCATCATGAACGGCATTCACAAGATACCTTTGGTTCCGGTGACGGTGGTGGGGAGGTTTATTCGAGAAACCAGAGTATTGGGAGAAACCCGAGACCGCAAATATCCCCACGAGAGGCATTTCAACGCCGCAGAACATACCCGGAGCAGTGGGGAGACTGCATTTTGACGAAAACTATCAGACTCTGGCTGAGATTGGGGTCAATGACGCTAACGTCGTATTAATGGGTTACCCGTGCAGAAACTCCAAGTGTATCTAGGGGCTTACCCACGAAACCCTACGCAGGAAGCATGAACATCGAGCCCGAGCCCAAAGAGATGCGATAGTACTTAAAGCCAAGAGGGCCTGACTAGCCGATAAATAACTCACGAAGCAGTTAGCAAATGGGGCTACCGTCGTGGCACCAAGCACTCGCTACACCCACGGCATCTTTCATGTAATGCATCGGGCAATCACAAAAACAGCGCCAATGCCCCTGTTTGCTCTAGGCATTTTGCAGGAGAAATCTCATGTTGACCACTCTTCTCACCACTATCAAAGCCATTTAGCTTTATTCTTGTCCACAAACTCTCTCCAAGTCGTAGGCGTCTCATCCAGCAGACTCAAGCTCTCACTCAAGCCCGCACCTCCATAGTAACCGGGGTTCTCGGTTAGTAGAAAGTTTTCTAGCATTTCCTGAGCTATAGGCGGCGGCAAGTACGCCTTGAAAGCTTCTTGGGGGATCTGCACAGCCTTGGCCGGCTTACCCATTACCTCTGAGAACTCGGCAAGGAGCTGTGATGGACTGTAGTAGTTGGTCGCGGCGTAAATATGCTTGCCAACGTACTTTGGGTGGTGCTTGATGGCAGCCTTGACAAATTTCCCTAGCATTGTGTAAGTGGACTGGCTAGTTTTGAGAAATCGGAGAAATGATTTGGTTTTGTTTTCTCACTCCTTGTAGGGTTGACGTGACTTACCAGTATCGGCGACAACATCGAGAATCGGAATCTTTGCCTTGTCCACATCAACAGGCGCAGGCAGCAGGTACGAGCCATCCTCGCTCTTTTGGATGGCCTGGAAGAAATTGGACGCATACCAGCCAGGGAGTACAAAGGTGCTTGGAATGCCGCTGTCGCGTATGTATTGCTCGATCTTGGCTTTGCTATCGAAGTGGCTGATGCGAGAGAGCCGGCCATTGCTGGCATCCGTCGCATTTATGAGAGACGAAAAGATAAGATGCTTTACTCCCGCTGCCTTTGCGGCGTCGGCAACGGCTTTGCCCTGGGATATCTCGGTGGCGGCATTGGTAGACTCCCAGAAGTTGGTGGCGAGAAAGACGGTGTGAGCGCCTTGGAGCGCTGGAGCGACCGACTCGAACGTTGACATGTTGCCCTACAGCACGATGGTCGGTAAACCATCTTTCATGTTTGTCTTGTTTTTTATACGTCTCTTGGATTCTCCAAAGGAAGGGAATCATCTTACTGCGACGACTTTTGCTCCCATGGCCTGCAAGGCCCTTGCCGCAGGCTTGGTGGCATTGCGGGTGACGGCTCGGATCTTGAACTGGCTGGAAAAGGCGGCATCGCCAAGGATAGCCCTCACGACGGAACCGCCTTGGTTGCCGGTGGCTCCGAAAACCGTTAGAATCTTGGACATGGTTGGTATGAAAAGGCCAATGCAAGACCTGGATGCTCAATTGTTGGACAAGGAATTCAACGATTGTTACGGAGGTGCAGTCGACGAGTTGAGATTTTCCGTCAGGCGTCCGATTGCGACCTTCACGTGTTGGGACATTCGGATTTGCCATGACTGCTGGGAGAAGGGGAGAAATGCCTGTCTCTTGCAGGCTACTCTCAGGCCCGTTAGCCTTGTGCCACCAATGGTCAAGCCGAGGCACGTTGCCCTCGGAACGACGTTGCCACATCGAAACAGGAACAGTTTCGGCGGATCTGCACCGCCGGACGAATCTTAATTTCTCGTCGGGTTCAGGTGCAGGTGGTTCTAATCAAGGGGCGGATACTTGTCTTTCCGACCGAGTACAACGAAATGTGGCAATGAGCTTCCCTTCCACATGTAGTGACGGGCTGGAAGCCCGTGTTCAAGTGTAATCCTGCGAGAGGTGGAGAATGAGGGGATTTACGAGACCTGACGCTTCCGACTCGCACCGTCCGTGCAATCGGCCACGGAGTCATTGCAGCCATCACGCCACGGCGTCTATGGTGGCCCCAGTTCAAACACCTAACCACCACAACTCCTTTGAATCAACAAACACCCGGGCTATTTTCCCATCTTCAGGGCATCGGTCAGCTCTCATATAGAAACAGCCCTCGACCCTCACGAGTGCACAACAAGGGTAAAGGCTGGAGCGTTAACCCTCGCATACCGACATAGCCATGGCGGCCCAGCCCCTGACGACCGAGACATTGTCCCGGCTGTTCCCCGACATTGACACGACACCGGATGCCCTGTCCGGCCACGACGAGGAGCAAATCAGGTTAATGGACGAAATGTGCATCGTCACCGACGAGAATGACATGCCCATCGGCAAGGCGAGCAAGATGATTTGTGCGAACTACGCAGCAAAGCTCTAGACATGGATGACTGACCCCAAATAGGCCATCTCATGAGCAACATCAACAAAGGCCTTCTTCACCGGGCTTTTTCCGTCTTTCTCTTCAACGATAAAAATGAGCTGCTCCTTCAACAACGGGCGCCAGAGAAGATTACGTTTCCCGGCATGTGGACTAATACATGCTGCTCGCACCCCTTGGCCGTATCTGGTGAGACGGGCTCAATGCTTCAAGCTGCCATCGAGGGGGTCAAACGTGCGGCGCAGCGAAAGCTTCATCACGAGCTGGGAATCGACAAAGCGCAGGTTCCGATTGAAAAGTTCCACTTTTTGACGCGCATCCATTACAAGTCTGCCAGTGACAGCGAGTGGGGAGAGCACGAGGGTAAGTGACAGGCAGTGGCAAGACTGCGACACAGATGCTAAGTTGTGCAGTCGACTATGTTCTCTTCATCAAGGCTCAGGTTCAGCTCGACGTCAATGACAATGAGGTCAAGGCAACGCAGTACGTAAATTCCGACGGGCTCAAAAAGCTGTTTCAAGACCCGAACCTCAGCTTCACGCCCTGGTTCACGCTCATCTGCAAATCCATGCTTTTTGAGTGGTGGGACACTTTGGACTCTAACCTGGAAGATTACACCAACGAAGTCCAGATCCGGCGCATGTAGCAGGAATAGACAGCTCCTAACCTCGCTGTTTCTCCATTTTTAGCCGTGACCGTATACCGAAACGGCCTGAAAACGGCTGCTTAATTCTGCCGTCCAGCCCCCATTTCCTGCTCAGAAACCCCAATCGTGGCAAAGTACGCCATGGCTCGCCGGTTCGACTCCGGGTCCATGGGTTTGCCTTGTTCCGCCATGGTCGCCAAGAGCTTAAAATAGTTGATATAAAACGCGGGGGTATAGGTGTTGAAGAATTTGGCTTCTTCGTCGAATGGATTGGAAAAGGTATGAGCGCAACGCGGGGGGACGACGATATAGTCTCCTTGTTTCGCGTCAACTGTCTCGCCGCGCAACCCGTGGAATCGCAGTGTGCCCTGGAGGACAAGAAACGTCTCGTCGTGCTGTCAAGTTTACAATTGTTAGGACCGGAAGCCTAGATGTCTGATACGGGCTACATACCATTTCATGCCAATGTGCTGGCGGGCTACCATCAACAGTGATTAGCCCGAGTGTCGATTGTGGAAGCTCTAGTAGCCATGTGTTGCCCTACATACCCATTTGTATGCGGCGGCACTATAAACTCGGCAGACCCGATTCTATTATCTGATTCCTGTTAGCCCGTGCCATATCTATACGACTTCCTATACCATGTGTGGCTGTGGAAGTAGCAAAGAAACAGGACGGTGATGGATATAATACGGAATTTCAACCGTTGGCTATCCCAACTTACCCGTTTTTGACCCATCTTCCAAGATTCGGATGGTAACGGTACCAAGCGAGAGCGTCTCGCCAGCCTTCACCGGTACAAACTTGATTGGGGCGGTTGGGGTTTCCATGCTCAATGACTGCAATCTCCAGCAGCGTCGTAGTATTTAGGAGATTAATGAGCGTTAGGACGTAGAACTATACAACTGACGAATAAGGTTGTTGGCGGCATGCGTCCATTTAACTTCTGGAGTCAAATGACAGTAAAATCGATAGCTTACTGATGAGCCAAACAGTGCGTATAATTATAACGCATCCGGATGGGGAGTCAATAACGATTAACCCCGCTGACGGATTTAGGGACTAGGGTTAGATGGACAGAGTAATTAGTACATACACGGAACCGGGCAACGAGACCGGAAGGATGTTCCAGGGGCAGACTATGCAAGACCCTCCCCACAAGGCCTTCTTGCCTTCCTAGCAGCGGATTGGGGGTCTGAAGTCCGAATTACTAGTCTGCGGTTGCGAAAGACGAGCCCGTGTCAACAATTACCCTCCAAAGCAAAAGAACAGTACGTTGGTAGTACTCTGAGAATTGTCACGGGTTTACATGTCCTGCTTCGCGTTTAGTATTATTATATTAGTGGCTACGCTAGAAAAAGAAGATTGCAGTGTTAACACCTAGCCCCAAACCTTCCGGGCAGCTTGGGCCCAAATTTTCGGCATTTTTGTGCCGCTTTCAGCTTCAGGGCGCGGTCTAATGGCTGCCCGTGCACTTCATTAACCTCCATTGGTGCTTGATGAGGTGGCGCTGTTTCTGAGATGTTGCTTCTACGTCGCTATGATTATTCGTATGGCGGGTGTTGCCACCCAGGTGAGGAAGAAAGTCTCGTCGTCCTTGGTATGCCTTCAAGATGTATCGCATGGACAAGCTGGCGCTATGTCTGAGCACGTGGAGTAGCTCGCTGCGCTGAACAAGGTGCTACGGCAACGGCACTTGCGGTCTGAGTCTGATTTGGGGGGCGGCCGTGCCGGCACAAACGACCGAGACCGGCCCCTTTTGAATATTCGGTATGCCAGGGATCGCTTCCGAGGTGGCGGAGTAACAGGTTTCTCGTTTGTCGAAAGAGTGCTACTGCTGTCGATGCTGAACCGGCGCGACTTTCGCCGAAAGGAGAAGGTCGTAGGGCTGCTTGGCATGGAGTTAGAGCCAAGCCCGGCAAGATTGTCCCTGGCCGAGCGCTTGCGGTGAAAGAAGGCGAAAATAGGCTCCATGGCGACGAAGGGTAGGCAGCTGCTGCCAATGATAGAGGCGAAACCTCGGCTGCCCGAGGCGTTGGAGAGTGGTGGGATGGCAATGCTCAGCCGACTTCTGCCACCGCCTGACGTGGGATCGACCGTACGCAAGAGGGGCCGTGGATAGACGGCGCAGATGAGTTCAATATCGCAGCAAGAGGAAACACGCCGGCCTGCGGAGACGAATCTCGGGATATTAACGGTTCGAGTGACGGACTTGCGAAGAAGCTCAACGCGAGCAAAGACGGTGGCTAGGAAAATGATTGGCGCTGGGTGCGATCGAGGTGGAATCACAGGATAAGGCAAAAGACAGTTTCTTATAGCTGATGCCGGGCAGTCATGGGACTTTTTAGTGAGGGAAGCCTGAGACGCAGCCGCGTTTGAAGGGGGTCCAAAGCGGCCTGCCGGCAGTCGAGACATAATCCGTGCGCGCCTACTCGCCGGGGAACCCGGGCGGGACACGAGAGCGTGTTTCAACGCTCGTTTTCTATACGAAGGCTCTGAAGAAAGGCTCGTGATCGAGTCATTCGAGCACCAGTCTCCTCCTGGGCATCTCGCTACGGTGCTCTACCGCCGCGCTTTTGGGCAGGCCGCTGCTGCCAGGCGTGGAAACGGCCAACGCTGTGGACCGACGACAGCCTTGGTCGCCCCCACCGTTAAGGCATTTCCGACGTGCTTAGGTTTTCAAGGCTTCGGAACCGACGACCAAGATGGTAAAGCTTGACTCGCGGCCTTTACTCTTGGTGCTCCGCCGCTCAGCCAGCAAAGCAACAGCCGTCCATCAGGCCTTTCCGAGGCAAAGTCTGCTGAACGCGGGGGCCACCAATGAGACAATAGAGTTGCGCGAAACAAGTAAAGCGTGTATAGGAGGATCGTGGTATTCTCTCTCGTTCTTTATAGACCGGCGTAGAGTTCTGGACTGGACCCAACATGTACCTGTCCAGCCTCTCGTAAAGCTATGCAGCTTACTGGACCATTCTTCTCCGGTCGTCCCCTCAAATCGCAAGCGGTCTTGCGTTCCTTTTTGTGTCTGTCAAGTATTTGGCACCTCTCATCGTGCCAATCTGGGAAGCAGCCCGGACGCCGAACGCCCAACACGCAATAGTCAGTTTCAAAGCGCCCAGTCCGATCGATAACCAGCCCAAGTCGAAAGGAGGTCATCCCAAGCCATCCACGTCAACTCGGTAATATCCACGACCCCAAGAGCATCAATGTCTGCTCCCGCATTACTTACTCCTAATTCTTAACCTCTGTCGGGATGATTAGTGCTTCTTGGCCTTCTCCTTCTTGTCATGCTGCGGCTTCTGCTGCTTCTTTTTCCTACTTCTCGCCTGTTCCTCGGTGCCAGGACCGGCAGAGGGCGCCGAGTTGTCCGCCGACCGCTTCTTGCCTTCGACGGACTTGAGCAGCGCCTTGGCCCGCTCCTCGGCAATCTTCTCGGCAAGCTTGCTGCTGAGGCTCTTGTTGTCGGCCTGCAAGGGAAAAGGCACGAGCAAACCTGGTCAGCACTGTTTTCTGTAAAGAAAGGCAGCTTTGAGGAGGAGGGGGGGAGGGGGGCAAAGGGTACCAAGTCGGCCTTGAGCATGCGCGCGGCCGCCTCGCGGTTGACCGTCAGAGTGCGCTTGGCCTCGGGCTCCTCGACGGCCTTGATCTTGACAAAGTACTGCTGCACGCGCTTGAGCTCCGTCATGACGGCATGGTCTTGGGTGTCGACGCCCTGAAGGCGCAGATATGCTGTGGCAGGTTGGTCCGTCAGTTTGTCCATACTATGGCGGCGGCGGGCGAGGGCTCCTACAGAAAAGCAGCGACTCGATGGCGTAGGCAGAGAGTGAAAAGAGCTTGGACTTATCGAGGAGCGGGAGCTGTGAGGCCTTTCCTTCGAGGTTGTCGAGCAAAGGCCCCAGCGCCTCTTCCAGGTCGTCGAGCTGCGCGTCGAGCCTGTCGAGATCGGGCGTGATGTCCTTGACGTCCGACATTGGCGCGGTCGGCAGCTCGGGTTTCACAGATTATTCTGGGAGAATGGCCCACTCCGCCGCTCTTGTGAGCAGGCACAAGGTTGCAGTCGAAAGCTTGCGGAGCGCGACTCGAGGACGCGGGCTGCGAGAGATGGCGAGGATGAGACTGAAGAGCTTTCTGAGTTCTCGGTACCGTGTAAAGTACAGTGCGCATTGCCCGGCGATGAGATTACCTAAGGCTGTAAGTTACCGTATATATGCCTGTACCGAGGCCCCTAACCGCCGCTTGGCTTGGCTTACCCAAGCCCCGCACAATGCTCCGTATCTGCTGTTATCAAAGGCGACTGACCGTTGACCATAAATTCATAAGTGTCAGATCTGTAGGAGCAGGGTCACCTAATATTACGTGTAGTATGACCTCCCGTTGCTCACTCCTTAATGCATTGCTTATTTTTTACTTGTTATTCGTCCTTCGCATCTTGCACATTGTCCCTTTAGACCTCCATATTCTTTCAATCCCCTTATTTGACGGTCATTCTCATCCAAACTAGAATCATCTAGCCGTCTATAAATCCTCGCTTAACTGCCGGCCATCCATCATCCATGATGCCAAAGTATGCCGTATCCCACGGGCTTTCTACCTGCAATACCCTGGGTTGCTCTCGCCGCAAAATGCTTATGCAGCAAGAGAGCGTGGTCCGCTGTTAGCGGCACTAGGGATGTGTATCAACCGTGAAGAGTAACGCAAGACGAGCATATAGCGTTCCTCGACAGAACGGGGCATCAAGAGGAGGATCTATGTTCTTTGCATTAGATAGTGTGCCGACCGATAAGAGGAATAAATCCCTATTTAGTAAGGTATATAATTACCTTAATAGAGTTACTATTAATATTTAGGGCCCTATAAGAACCCCTACTTATAATAAATACACCTCCTTTATATCCTTTTTAGATATAGGGATAAGATATTTAGAAATATCTTTAATAAAATCTAAGGCAGAAGCCCTAGATAAATTCTTAGAATATAAAGCCTTGGTTGAAAATAACCGGGATAATATTACTATAAAGGAAGTCTTTTCGGATAACGCAAAAGAATTCCTATATAAAATAAAACCCTACTGCTTAAGAAAGGGAATTAAATATTATACTAGCCCTCCTAGGACTCCTAAATTAAACGGAGTAATAGAGAGGATTAATAGGACTATTTTAAATAAAGTCCGAGCTATTTTATTTACGGCAAAACTGCCTAAATATCTATAGGGAGAAGCTATTCTAATAGCAGCCTATTTATATAATAGGACCCCTTACTTACGAATAGGCTTCTAAACTCTTATAGAGAAGAAGGAAAATAAATCTCTAGCCTTAGAAGACTTAGAGAAAATTAAGACCTTCGGAAGTACTATTTATTATAAAAATAAAGACCCCTTAGATAAGCTAGAAATAAGAGCTTATAAGGGTATTATTATAGGCTATAATAAAAATGCTTATAAAATATATAACTTTTTAAAAAGAAAAGTAATAATTTCTAGAGATATTATTATCCTAGAAAATAAATTTATAGAAAATAAAAAAGAAGAAGACCTTAAGGACTTTAATTTTAATACCTTACCTTTTATAAATAAGGTCCCGGATAATTATTTATAAAGGGAACCTATATATAAAGAAGGCAATAACTCTTCTTTAGAAGAAGAGAAAAATAACCCTCCTATAGAGAAGGAAGATAAACTTCTTATAGAGTAGGAAAATAACCCTCCTATAAAGAAGGAAGATAACCCTCTTATAGAGAAGGAAGATAACCCTTTTATAAAAAAGGGAAATAATCCTCTTTTAGAAAAGGGATTATATTAAATAGTAAAAGTAAAGAGATTATTCTATCTTTACTAGAAAATAAGGATCCTATAGAGCCTAAAACATTTAAATAGGCTATAAATAGCTTAGAAGCTATAGAATAGAAAAGAGCTATATTTCTAGAAATAAAAGAGCTCTTAAACTAAAATACCTAGGAATTATAGCCTCTTCCTAGTAATAGGGAGGCCCTAGGCGGCCGTTAGGTCTATAAAATAAAGCGGGATAATAATAACATTATTATTAAATATAAAGCCCGCTATATAGTATAAGGATTTAATTAGGTCTACGGCCTAGATTATTTAGAAACCTTTTCTACGATAGTAAGACCCGAATCTATTAGAATGCTACTTATAATAGCTATTTCTAATAATTATACTTTACTATAATACGATATAAAAAATGCCTTTATATATACCGAAATAGATATAGATATTTATATAAAATTCCCTATAAGCTACGAAGAGCTAATACTTAAAGACTAGTTTAATAAAAACTAGTATAAGTATAATATTAGCTATTCGTAGTTTCTAGAGCTATATAAAAAGAAAAGGCTAGTAGCAAAATTAAAGAAAGTATTATACGGCCTTAAATAAAGCCTAAAGCTCTAGTATAACTATCTTAGCTTAATATTAGCTAAGATAGGATTTTCGGCCCTTCCTATAGATAAAGGGGTATTTATAAATACGCAATATAAAATTACGATTATAATCTATATAGATAACCTCTTAATAATAGGGCCTAATAAAGGTATAATAAATAGTCTACTTAAAAGAGTAGTAGATTATATAAAGGTTTAGCCTCTAGGCGAACTAAAAGACTTCTTAGGAATATATATAATTATAAACTAGAGTAGAAAGGAGATATTTATATCGTAGGAAAAATATACTCGTAATAAAATACGAGAATATAATAAAGAAGACTTAGGGACTTTTAATACGCTTACTATAGTAGGAGTAGAGCTTAAAAAGGCTACTATAATGCCTTTATAAAAAGAAATCCTTATTTACTAAAGGGAAATAAGGGCTCTATTATATCTAGCTATAATAAGTAGGCTAGACATTTTATATACTGTTATTTCCTACGCTAGATTTACTTCTAAACTAAATAATATATATTTTAAAGCGTTAAATACTATCTAGAAATATTTAAATAAATACCCTAACTTAGGGATAATTTATTACTATAATATCCCTTATACTTATAATTTTATAAAAGGTTATTCCGACGCTAGCTAAGCGTCTAACCTTATAGATAGAAAATCCGTTTCTAGATACTATTTCTATATTTATAAAAATATTATAAGTTAGGCTAGCTAAAAGTAAAAATCTATAGCCCTATTAACCTACGAAGCTAAATTTATTGCCCTTAAGGAGGCTAATAAAGAAGCTTTATATCTAAATCGGCTATATTATTCGATAAATAATAGCTTATCTATTAGAATTCTTAATACTATACCTCCTATCTTAACGGATAACGAGGTAGCTATTAAATTAGCTAAAAATCTAGAATTTTATAAAAAGATAAAGTATATAGATATTACTTACTTCTATAGCCGAGAAAATATTAAGGAAAAGAAGATCCGGATTTTCTATATTAAATCTAAAGATAATATTGCCGATATATTTACTAAGGAACTAAGAAGAGAAAAATTCTTTAAGTTCTAAGAGCTTCTTTCCCTTAGGGAATTAAAAGAGCCTTAAAAAGAAAAGCTTATATCCCTTTAATAAAGGTTTTTTAGCTATCTTTTACTTTCTTAGCTTTTCCTCTATATATAATTAATAGGTTTTTTCCTTTAAAAAGGTTTCTTATTAGTAAAAAACTATTACGGAGTAAGTAGAGGTATAGGCTTAAGTACGGTCCGTTAAAAGAAGGTTAATAATCTATAAAGGGGAAAAGGAAGAAAAGTACGGGCCTAGCCTATATAGGCATAGAGGCCGCTTATATATAAACTTAGCCTAGACCTTAGTCTAGGCCTATATAGGGCAAAAGCCCTTATATTATACCCCTACCTAGCTTTTAAAGAGGCGCGCCTCTAAATAATACCCGATACCGCGCTTAAGGGGACGGAACCCTCGCGCGGACTACGTACGCCTAGTCGCGGAAAAAACGTTAGTAAATAACGTATAATACCCTCCTAAGCGAGCTTCTTAGATAGACTATATTATTAGTAGGGGCCGCGCCCTAGGAGTCGGGCTTTAGCACTTCTAGCTAAGGAGTAGAGGTATATAGAACGGCGTATAGCTAGCTTTAGTAAGCTTATAGTATCCCGCCCCCCCTATATCGGCGCACGGTAGTAGCTCTTAGTACTATAACGTAGGGGACGGTACTCCGGTATATAAGGCTCTGCTCCCTCCCGCACGGGGCTATATAGGCACTCCTTTTCGCTATAGTTATATTATATTAGCGGCCTTCCTATATCTTAGCCGCCCTTTCGGTCGCTATAGGTATATGTCCCGTCTATATAGTAGCTGCTGCCGTACGCGAGGGGACGCCGACGAAGCCCGTAAAGGCGTTACTAAGATTACTCGTCGCTAGAGTCGCTATCGTCGAACCTAACCTCCTTTCCGTCCTAGCGTGCGCCTCATTACTTGCGTTTACCCGCGCCTCCTAGCGCGGTACTTTAAAAACTAGTAGGATTTACTGCCGTAGCCTATATAGCGACCCTCCTATCGCTACCTCTTTCTATCCTCGGTCCTCGAGGTAGAGATAGAGATATCTATAGTATTACTAGCGTTATCCTCTTCTTATATTATAGAAGAAGATAAAAAAAGAAACTTATTACTACTAAGCTCGCGAAGAAGGCGGACGAGATCGGTATATATATCTAGTAGTATAGACCTTTCGCTTAAACGGGTGCGCTAATTTAAATTTAAGCTTATAACGAGGTAATTATACTTTACCGCGTTAGGCTAGCTATATACGTTTACTCGATAAAGCACCTCTTTAAACCGTACGAGGTAGGCTAGAATAGCTTTACTCTGCTTTTAATAGAGCGTTATAAGCTCCTAGCCTACTAACTTAGCTACTTTAATAGGTAAGATCGTACCCCTATAAATATTAGCCTATTAAGGGGGGGGGGATAAGACCCCTAGTACTCTCCTTCTAACTTGCTTCTAAGTATACTTAAAGGCGTTATAAAGACCTTAATTATCTAATTAAGTATCTTTCTTAAT